CGGCTTGGGTAATTTCTTCCTTTGACATTCGAGCCTGGGCAGAAATCAGCGTAACACCGCTCCGGCCTCGAAAGCTTTTTTTTATAACAGTGCCCCCGGGGTCCGTGCCAGTTCTTGTTCGTCTCATGCTCGCCCTCGGCCCCCCAAACCCCTTGCAAAAGGGAGAAGGCCCTTCCACCGTCCCCCCCACCTCAGTACGGGCCCGATCGCACCTCGGACCAGCCCCCGTCACGAGGGGGCTTCAGAAATAATTAGGGAAGCCCAGAGCCGAGACACAAGCCAACCCTTTTTTTCCGAGGTTAGGGATGGGGCCCGGCTTCCCTTCCCAATTGTTCAGACTAGAGGCTGTTCACCTTGGAACCTGCTGCGGATAGGGGACGGCCCGGGCCCGAAATCACACCCTCTCCTTTTTTTCAAGGGCCGGCGGGGGGAAACCGGACAGGGCGGCAGCGACCGTTTTTCTTTCGCGGCGCGCCCCTTTCTCCTCGCGACGAGATTCGAGGGACACGCCGTCTTCGAAAAAGTAAATTTCCCCGGGTTCCGACGACGTCGCCGAGTTCGGTTGCGTTACCGCACTATCCCCCGGAGGCCGGATCCCGTGCCCGGGTAAAGGAAAAACCCTTTTCGGTCTTCATCTTTCAACTCTTCAACAACTTTATATTAATGAAAGATTTATAATACGCATTGGCGTAGGACCTCAGGACCGACTCACTCATGTTAAACTCTGTTCCCCGGGAAACCCTTCCCCTGTTAGTTTTCCCAGGCTCTCACTGGAATATTTGCTACTACCCCAAGATCTCCCCCCGGGTCCAGCCCGACTCACGCCGCGCCTTCACCCCCCGACGCGACCCCCCCTACTCGGTGACCTAATAATCACAATAAATTGGGGCCCCCCCGGGAGCGGGCTACGACGCTGGGCGCCCCTTTTTCAGGCCCGGGTTTGCAGGCAGGTGAGTTGTTACACCCCCCTTGGGGGGGTGCCGACTTCCGTGGCCACCGTCCTGCTGTCTCTAGCAACCGCCCTTTTCAGGGGGCTCTGGCGCCCCGCATAGGGCGCCTTACCCCGGCTTCGGTTCATCCCGCAGCGCCAGTTCTGCTTCAAAAAGGGCCCCCCGTCCTGCATCCGCACTTCGGTCTCCGATCGGGGAGAACCGTTTTCACGTCCCTTCGTAGTTTGAAGGGTCGAGTGACACGGGCGTCCCAAGCTCTAATCATTCTCTCTAGGGGAAACGAGGGCCCCAATGAGCGCACTATCCTGGGGAAATTTCGGAGGGAACCAGCTACCAGGTGGTTCGATTGGTTTTCCCCCTATACCGGGTCGGCGTCGTTTCACGTCAAAACCCGCTTGGATTCAGCCGAGTTTCCTCGGCCTTCGTCCTGCCGAAATAGTTCACCACCTATCGGGTCCTTACCGAGGGCTCTCCTCCTTCCCCCTTTGGGTCAAGGAAAGGCGGTCGCTGCCCCGTCGACTTAAAACCGAAGGGATCGCGTCTTCGCTTTCGCTCCCCGGGGGGTTTTTTCCCCATTGACTCGCACCGCAGTAAGACTCCGGTCCGTGTTTCAAGACGGGTGGGGTGGGGACCGACCTCGTCGCGGGACAGCGGAACGCATCGAAAACCCCCGGAAACCGGCCAGCCGCACCGGAACCGCCAGCCCCCCCTGGGAAGATGGCGCGTCCACCACGACGCCCGGGCCCCGAGAGGGAAACCGACGCGCCCCGGAGGCCTTCCCAAAAGAATGGCGGCAGGGCTCTCTCCATCAAAGGGGGAACTCGGGCGGTACCAAAGGGACCCCCCGGATACCCCCCCCAACTCCGGGATCGCCTCCGCCGGCCGCGACTTCCCTTTTTCCCGGGCGGTGCGTCGGTCGGCACCGCGGACCCCCCCGAGTCGAGGATTTGGGCCCCCACCGTTTCCCCCCCGAACGTTCCGTCTTTAACTCTCTTTAAAAGTTTTTTTCAATTTTCCCCTCACGGTACTTGTTTGCTATCGGTCTCGCGGTCGTATTTAGCCTTGGGGGGGTCCCCCCCTTTGGGGGGGCCACTCCCGGGGCAACCCGACTCCCCCGGAGTCGTCCTTCCCATCCGGGGCGCGGGGGGCACGGGTCTTGCCCCCGCCACGGAAAAGGGCCCCCGCTCGGGGGGACTTGCCTCCGTTCCCCCGTTGGACGCGACGCACTCCATACGCCACAGGTCCCGAGGCGTCTCGCGACGCAGGGTTCGGCGCTGGGCTTTTTCCCCCTCGCCGCTACTGGGGAATCCTGTTGTTTTCTTTTCCTCCGCTTACTGATATGCTTAAGTTCAGCGGGTTCTCTCGTCTGATCCGAGGTCGCTTTCTCTCTTCGCCGTCCACCACTGGGGCGGACACTTCCGCCTCTTCTCGACCCACGGGTACCGGGACCCGAAAGGCCGTCACGGGAATCGTCGGTCCCTAGGTTGGATGCGACCCTCGGACAGGGGGCCCCCCCAAAGGGGGAAGGAGCCGTTGGTTGAATAATCAGTGATCGGTTTTTTGCAATTCCCCCCAAATCGCAGCTGGCTGCGTTCTTCATCGCCCGCGAGCCGGTGATCCACTGCTGGGAGCTGTCCGATGCGCCCCAAATTTAACATCCCCCGCACGAAGGGACTTATCGTTTGATAAAAGGACGGTCGGGGCGGTGCGCGACGGGCGCATCCCCAACCGTGCTCTCCCAAATAAGAACATCCCATCCTGCCCTACGGGGGCCCGGGCCCGAACCCACCGTTGGTTCGATTAATTCAATTTTTTTCAATTTTCCGCGCAAAGTTTTATTATTCAAATGATCCTTCCACAGGTTCACCTACGGAAACCTTGTTACGACTTTTGCCTCCTCTAAGCGGCCAAGTTCGGGCAAATTCCCCGCTAGTCCACTCGACCCAACAAGAGGCCGACGGATGCGGTGGGGCCCCCCCACCGTTCAATCGGAACAGCGACGGGCGGTGGAAAAGGGGCATGACTTAGTCGGCACGAGTTAATGACCCGCGCCTGGAATTCCTCGTTGGGGGGGTTACAACCCCCTACCCCCAGCACTGAGGGGGACTGAAAGGGTTTCCCCAGGCCGACGGCCCAAAAGGAAACCTCGGCACGTTACCGCTCTACTGGCGCACGTGCGGCCCCGGACATCTTAGGGCATCACAGCCCAAACGCCCTCTCGTGGCAAGAAGCCGCCGGTCCCTAAAAAGACTTGCCCCCCATCGAACGGGGAGAGTCGTTTTGAACGGAAATCTCGTTCTTTTATCGGAATCAACCAGACAGGTCACCCCACGCCAACCGGCCATGCCCACCATCCCATATTCCCTAAAGAGCTATCAATTTGTAATTCGTACTAAAACGCCCGGGCCCGGTGGTTTTCCGTGTTGGTGAATTAAGCCGTAAAACCCACTCCTGAAAGTGCCCCCCCTCAATTCCTTTGTTTCAGCTTTGCAACCCCCCCGGGCTGCTCAGGTTTCCCGGACGAGCTGCCCGGGGGGTCACAACCGTACCCCCGGATCGCTGGGGGGCATCGTTTAGGGTCAAAACTAAAAAAGGTTTTAATCTTTTTTGGGCCCTCTGACTTTCGTTTTTGGGTTTAAAGGGGAAACATTCTTGGCAAATTTTCGCGTGGGTCGTCTTCCGACGGCCCAAAATTTCCCTCTAGCGTGGGAAATACGAATGCCCCGTCTGCTCCTATTAATCACCCCTCGGTCTCCGTCCCCCCGGGACCTAGATCAAGTAGCCATCGTCCCGTGCATTACTATTCGAGCCGGGGTGAGCCCGCTTGAACACTCTTCCCAAAGCGAAAACCCGCCGACCACCGAGGGCCGACCGGTGAAACCGACCCCAGTGGCGAGCAAAATCCGGGTGCCTGGCGGACCGGGGAGCCCCCTACGTCAGAGCAGACACCCAACTACGAGTTTTTTAACCACAATTTTAGTATACGCCACTGGGCTAAAATTACCGCAGGGGCCCATTATTTGCCCCCCAGTAGGTCCTCGTTAGAGGGTTTGACGTACTCATTCCGACGACTGGGTCTCAAGGTCCAGCGTCGTTATTCACTACCTCCCGAGCCGGGATTGGGTTTTGCGTGCCTGCTGCCTTCCGAATGTGGTAGCCGTTTCTCCGGGCTTCTCCGGAATCAAACCCCTGATTCCTCACCCGTGGCGACCACGGTAGGCCACCCCACCGTCGACGTTGATAAGGCAGACCTTGAAGGATGCGTCGCCGGGTCGACCCGTGCGATCGGAAAATTTACTTCGCTCCGCCCTCCCCATGCGGCCCTGGGAAGAATCAATAAAGCGCTCGTCCCCGCACCCGGGGGGCGGTCAAACTCGGCTGCATGTATTGCTCTAAATTCCCCAATTATCAAGTAACGCGTCACGACCCAATGAACCGTGACTGATTTAATGAGCCATTTGCGGTTTCGCCTTATACCGCGGCATGACGAACGTGCAGGGTTTAATCTTTGAGACAAGCTTTGCTACTGGCGGATCCCAGGTACCCATCCGTCACTCTCGCACCCCCCCTCGGGGTGCCCTTCTCCCCTTCCTTCCTCTTTTATTTTTTAAGAGGGGGCTCCTCTGGCCTTTTTCTCCCCCCGAAGAGGGTCCTTTCTCCCTCGTCTCCCGTTTCCCGGAAAGAAGAAGCGGTGGCCCCATGACAAAGGTGAAAATGGCGCGAGACGGAACCCCCCGGAAAGGGCGTCTCGCGGAGTGCCTAAATGGGTGGTATCCCGCCAGGGGGGAGGACTTCGTCGGCCGCCCTCCCACCCGGAGACGGACGGCCTAGTAGGGGCCCGATAATTGCTCCACGGGCCCCTCCGAGGAGGGGCGTGTCGCGTGGGCCGAAATGGGTGATACCCCGCCGGGGCGGGGAGGACCTCGTCGGTAGCCGTCACGGACGCGACGGGGTCTTCACGTAGCGGGGGAAAGGTGGGACGGGTGGGACCCCCCCGGCCCGGACCGCCCCACGCGGCCCATTCCGTCCTTCGACCCAATGCGCATTCGATCGGGGACGGGTACCGCCCGAGCGAAGCGACGGCCCCACGGGGCGATCGCGGGCCGGGGGGGGAAAGCCGCCAGTAAAACGCGAACGAGCGAACGGGGCCTGATGGGTCTTGCATCGCAAAAGAGTCTCCCCTATATAGGGCAAAACGGTTTCCAGAAAAAAGGAGCACCTCTTCCTCCTCCGAGGGGGGACGGCACGGCGCAAGCGGAACCTCCGTCGACCCAATCTTTGAGTGGACCGCGCCGGTGGACTAACGTAGTACACCGGAACTGAATATCTGGAACGAGACACGTCGGCAGGTGCCGCACTCACACCCGGGGGGCGGTGCGCCGGAACGAAAGTACACCGGAACGGAAACCACTCGGCAGGGTCCCGCCCCGCAACCGATTATACCCCGGCGCCGGAACCCCCGGAAAGGGCCGCTCCGGGGGTTGCCCGGGTTTTTCCTCCATTTTTAAACTGCCATCCCCTTCTCACCGTCCACCGGGACCAGAAACCCCACCGTCGGAAAAATCTTTCGTTCGCCGCCGCGCTTATTTTTTTCGAAATAACCCATTTTCCATTTTTTTCCCCATTTTCAAAACACTCGAAATCGACCCCATTTTCGATAGACCGTTCCCAATCGTTCCGAAAACCCCCGCATTTCCGACGACGGAATCCTGGGGTCCCCCAACGGGCGTGCTCTTCTCCTAAAATCGCTCCTTTTTTAAAAAGAAAAACGGCCGAAACTTTTTCGATTTTCAAAAAAACTCCAAATTTTTGTTCCCCATTTAATAACCCCTCGATCGAAATAAACTCGCCAAACTTTTTCCCGTCGTGGGACCCGTCGTCACCTCGAAGGTGAAAACTTCGATCGATTTGAATTTTTTAAAATTTTTTCTGTTTTGCGTTTTCGCCTAACTCGCGAACCGGTCGGGCCGGCTCCGGACATATTCGAAAGATCTCGTCAGTGCTTTAGAATATGATCGTTTCGGGTCCTGTCTCGAACCCCTGGGATCGGGGCGACCGCAAAACCAATTTTTTTGAATTAAAAAAGATTTACGGTCTGATCTTTATAAATGACCACTCTTGTGAGAAAGAGGGCTTTTTCCGTAAAAAAGGTTTTTAAAAACAAAAACACGAGGTTATTCCAAAAAAGTGTTTTGAAAGGGGGACTTAGAAAAAATTTGACTCCTTTTTTGGCATTTTTTGGGTCGTCGTAATTAAGAAGGAAAGGGCCACATTCGGGAAACCACAGTTTGGAAAAGGTTTGTCGGGAGATCACGAAAATATATTTTTTCGGGCCCCTCCTCGAAAAGGGGGCCCCCTGGACCGGGGGCCCTTTTTTACGGGGGTCCCTATTTCGGGAATTTCCGCACAAAATTTTTATCACGGGGGCGTCCGTCAGGAAAACCCCTAGGGTTTCAGCTCTGGGTGCAAAGGGGCCTCAGGGGGGAAGCGTTTTTACTCATTTTGGGGATCCCCGCTCACTCCTAGGGGGGCCCCCCCTCACGAAAACACATATTCGGAAGGTCTCGTGGGACTTTCGAAAATATATATTCGTTTGGGTCCTCAGGGGCCCCCGGGCCCTGGGGGGTCAAAAAAAGGTTTTCCCATGAAAAAACGGCTCGACCGATTTTCGAAAAACAGAACTCGTCGCGTGCGAAACGACGAGATCTTTCTTTTTCTTCAGAGTTTTCGAAAATCGGTGCACCGGAACGAAAGTTATCGAGAAAACATGTGTTTCGGTAGGCCGCACTCCCGGAACCTTCAAAAATTCATAAAAATAACTTACCTGTATTTTTTTAAAACTATACTACTTTTGGGGGAATCGGGGTTCTACCTTTTGGGGGGACATTTTGGGGGCGTGTGTTCTTTCAAAAGTTTTTGAGAAAAAAGGCTTTTCGGGAAAAATTTTTCCCGTTTTTCCCGGTAAAAATTTTACGGGCGGATTTTTATAAATGACCACTCATAACGTGCGTCGAAAGGGCTTTTATTTTCTTCAAAAAGTTTCTAAATAACTTAATATAAAGGGAGTTATTCCCAAAAAAAGTGTTTCAAAATGGGGACTTTGACAAAATTTCCTCCTTCGTACGCATTTTTGGGTCGTCGTAATGAAGAACGGAAAAGGGGCCCGACTCAAACCCTTTGCAGATTCTGAAAAGGGCTCGTCAAATCGATCGAAAATATTGTTTGGGCCCCTCCTCCCGGGGCCCGCGGCCAAGGGGGGCCAAAACTGGTTTTCCCCAATAAAAGAACGGCTCGACGGAAATTTCAAGAAATATGACTCTTTACCTGCGGCGACGGATCTTTCTTTTTTTTTTAGAGTTTTCGAAAATGGTTCGTTAGAACGGTTATCGAAAAAAAATATGATTCCGAAAGGGCCCCACTTCGGCGTTCGAAAATTCATAAAAATAAATTACCCGGGCTATTTTTAAACACTATACTTTTTGCGAGGAATCGGGGGATCTACCTTTTTTGGGGGGACATTTTGGGGAAAGGGGTCGTTCTTTCAAAGTTTTAGGGAAAAAAGCTTTCCGGGAAAAATTTTTCCCGTTTTTTCCCGAAAAAAAAAATAATGTACGGTCGGTTTTTTTTAAATGACCACTCAAAAGTGCGCAATCAGAAAGGGCTTTCATTTTTTCAAGGTTTCAAATAACAATATAAAAAGGGATTATTCCAAATAAAGTGTTTCCAAATGGGGGCTTTGACAAAATTTCGCCTCCCTCGTACGCATTTTGGATCGTCCATTTAAGAACGGAAAGGGCCACGTTCTAAAACTTTGCAGATTCTGAAAAGGGCTCGTCAGGGAGATCGAAAATATATTCGTTTGGGCCCCCCCTCAGGGGCCCGCCCCTGGGGGGGCCAAAAAATGGTTTTTCCCAAAAAAGAACGGCTCGACGGATTTTCAGAAATATGACTCTTTACCTGCGGGGACGGGGGATCTTTCTTTTTTTTTTGGTTTTGAAAAACGGTGCACCGGAACGAAAATTATCGAGAAAACATGTGTTTCCCGGGAGGCCCACTTCGGAACGTTCGAATTCAAAAAAAAAATTACCTGTATTTTTCAAAAAAAATATGTTTTTTTTGGGGTCGAGATCTACCTTTCGGTGGGACATTTTGGAGGGGAAATTGTTCTTTCAAAAGTTATTCGAAAAAGACTTTTTTCCCGGGAAAAAATTTTTCCCGTTTTTCCCAATAAAAAAAAATTTACGGTCGGATTTTTTTCGAAGCCACTCGTAATGGCGGAATCGAAAAGGGGTTTCATTTTTTTCAAAAAAGTTTCTAAATAAGTTAATAAACACGAGAGTTATTCCAAATAAAAAATGTTTCCAAAGTGGGGACTTTGACAAAATTTCGCCTCCCTCTACGCATTTTGGATCGTCCATAATTAAAGAACGGAAAAGGGGCCCCGCTCTAAAACTTTGCAGATTCTGAAAGGTCTCGTCGAGTAGATCAAGAAAATATATTCGTTTGGGCCCCCCCAGGGGGGCCCCGGGCCCCGGGGGGGCCAAAACTAGGTTTTCGAATAAAAAAAAGGGTCGACGGTTTTCGAAATAACTCTTTTCGTGCGGAACGGGGAAACTTTCTTTTTCAGGTTTTGAAAAATTTTCCCCCGGGAAAGAAAATTATCGAGAAAACATGTGTTTCGGTAGGCCGCACTTCGGAACGTTCGAAAATTAAAAAAAATAAATTACCTGTATTTTTCTAAAACATATGTACTTTTGGGGGAATCGGGGATCTACCTTTCGGTGGGACATTTTGGAGGGCAGTGTGTTCTTTCAAAAGTTATTCGAAAAATGAAAATTTTCGGGGAAAAAATTTTTTCCCTTTTTTCCCGAAAAAATAATTTAGGTCGTTTTACGAATGACCACTCGTAATTGCGGAATCGGGGCTTTCATTTTCTTTAAAGAGTTTCTAAATAAGTTAATAAACACGGGGTTATTCCAAAAAAAAAGTGTTTCCAAAGTGGGGACTTTGACAAAAATTTCGCCTCCCTCGTACGCATTTTGGATCGTCCATAATTAAAAGAACGGAAAAGGGCCACGCTCTAAAACTTTTCAGATTCTGAAGGTCTCGTCATAATCAAGAAAATATATTCGTTTTGGGCCCCCCCCCGGGGGGGACGCGGCCCCTGGGGGGGGCCCAAAAAATAGGTTTTCGAATAAAAAAAACGGCTCGACGGATTTTCAGAAATATGACTCTTTACGTGCGGGAAAGACGGATCTTTCTTTTTTTTTTTGAGTTTTCGAAAATCGGGGGGGCCCCCGGAACGAAAATTATCGAAAACATGTGTTTCGGTAGGCCCACTTCCGGAACGTTCGAAAATTCATAAAAAAAAAATTACCCGTATTTTCTAAAACTTATTTTACTTTTGCGAGGAATCGAGAATCTACCTTTCGGGGGGACATTTTGGAGGAACAGTGTGTTCTTTCAAATTATTCGAAAAAAATTTTCGGGAAAAAAATTTTCCCGTTTTCCCAGATAAAAATAATTTTGGTCGGTTTTTA